AGGAGTTGAAAACTGGGGTGGTTACATCCATCTGCTGATTGTCATGGGGCAATAATTACTGTAAAAATGCTAAAGATTTTGATGATCTGAAAACTAAACTGTAAATACCAAACATTTGTTTTATATATCATTTGGGGAATCTCCTGGTTGTGTGTATTTCTCTGTGTGGCCATCATGTAGGGAATTGGAGGTTACCAGCTTAGAGTCTAGGCACTTAGTCCTTCTCTTACTAAGAGTCGTGAGATCCGTGCCTAAGATTTACCACGTTGGCAACCTGTAAGCTTTTGGAAGTTGAGAGGTTTGGCTTTTTTTAACTATTATTGACAGGGAAGTGGGAGGGCAGTAGATAGATCTCTTATAATGTGGAAGCTATACCTGACAATTTTGGGATCCTTCAGAGAGCCTGGAAAGAGTGAAGCAAAAGGTACAAACTCCTTCTGCAGAAATTTCCTTTGAAAGGTAATACTGGCATGCTGAAGAACAGGATTATAGTTGATCATCTCTCTTTGAAATAATGGCATGACAACTATAAATAAAACAACAACAGAACAAAACAAGTGGTCATGTCACAGTTTTCATGTTCCTTAAGTCTCCCAATATATAACAGAACTAGTTACCTTTTGTATCTGCTCTGTTTCCCCAGAAACCTGCCCAGTATGGAAAAACGTGTCTTGATAATTTTGCAAGAAAGATTTTTGGGGCTGCTTATGTCTCAAAATGGGGTCCAAACCATGAAACTTGACTGGTTCTTGAATTTTTTTCAACGTGTTCAGAATTTTCTGTGTCAAGTCAATATTTTCACAAGGCTAGGAGCCATGTTTACAAAATTTAGATTAGTTTCTGTTTTGATTTTTATTTTTGTGGTCCTACTGATGACAAGAGTTTATACAATTGATCCAGATTTAGTAATTCCATAGGCTACATTCTTTTTATTTCTTCCATGATGAATTCCGTGAAAATATCCATGAAGTGTGCTGTAGGCAAAATTATTTGAGGGCAGAAAAGGTGACTTATGCTTCTTCTAGTACTTTCAGAACTGGGCGAATTAAAGTATTCCCTATGGTTATTTTTTTTATGGCTGCTCCTACATTACAGTTTTGAAGTTCAAATTTGAATCTTAAGAGTATTTAGGAATTCAGGTTTGTAGGATTGGAACAGGAAAAATTGACACAAATCCTGATTTGACTTTGCTAAAGCAATATTTTTGTTTGTGATGTCCTGCCTTAGGCATCCAGCTGTGGCTAAATAACCTTAGAAGCCCTATTTCAGGAAAAGACAATCAAATGCTTAATTTTAATATGATTTAGTGCTTCCTTGAGCTGAAAGCTCACTATAACCCTGGGCTTCAGTGACTGACTAGGATGGAGAGAAGTAAAGCTCTTCAGGAAATTCTAAAAAGAAAAGACATCCAAATAGATATCAGAGCTAATTATGATATGAAATGGCATGTTAAATTCAGTTATGCCGATGGACTGACTAGCTGGTGTGTATTCAAAGACGGTGACCTTCCTCCACTCTACGTGAATGAGTCTCTCAACTGAAATGCAGCTCAGAAACTTAGGCAGCTTTTAAAATGCTTCTTGGAGATCTGTAATGTCATGAACTGGCAGTAGGCAGAGGTGTCTTCAAGATGAGGTCCTTCTTCAGCTCCATCATTTTTATCAGTAAGTAAAAAGGGGAGCTGAACTCTCCTGCCGATGTTGGATAACATTTCCCACCACAGGATCCTACTGAGGTGACTAATTTTTGTTGATAAAACTCAGGATAAAACGATGTCATATAGTGCTGGTTTGTGTTTCACTTTGGTTTCATATTCTCTAAAAGTGAGACTTCTTCCCAAAAATAAAGAATGGTTCTGGAGATGAAGCAAGAGTATGAAAAATATATGACCCATAGGCAAATTGTCTAGAAAAGCCCTTTAAGGACTTTTAAGCTGTTATTTTAATCTGAACTCTATGTTTTACAGACGGACAAATGCTGTAATTTTTAATGGCTGTCATATTTTTAGATCTGGAAGACATAATGCACCATTATAATGCTCCTATGTAACACAGGCAGTAAAAGTGCCTATTGAGCCTTTTTATTTTATTGAGCCCATTAATGTAGGTGTTTATTCCTTGGTGAAACTTAGAATATGGAAAACATACAACTAGATAATGTAGTCAGAAGAAAAAAATATCCTGTAAAAGATTTCCTTGTGCTTCTGCAGCATACAGATAGCTAATACAGTGCTTCTACTATAATATTCTTTAACACTGTAAACTGTCTAATTTAGTGTGTATGTATGACACTATTTGTTTATTGTGTTAAATAGAAGTGCTGAAAATATTATTTAAAGCATTTATTAAATAAATATACAATATTATTAGTTATTTCCATTTTAATGTAATGTAATGACTGTTGTGCCTTTACAATAGTGCCACTGCGTAGTTCCAAATCAGCCTAAAATGTAATACATTTTAGGGCATTAATGACGATCTAAAGATAAAGGAAGTTTAACCTCGTGTTTGATTTCAAAATCTCAGTGGTTATATAAATGTGTTGTGCTATACTTCTTGTTTCAGTAACATTTGAAAAAAAAACAAACCCAAACAAACCCGAAAAAAACCCTACCCACAAAAAACCATGGCTGCAGCTGAAAGTGATGCTAATCAAAATGTTCACTCCGAGGTACTGGTTACTGACGATTCAGGTACTGTAAAAATAAACTGGGGTTTCGATTCTAAATTAAAGAGACAGAACACATTTTCAGTTTATTATTTCCTCATAAATTACTGCAAGGAATCTGCTTGTGTCTGAAAAATGTAGATTTGACTGGGCTGGTCTTGCAGTTCCTTCTTACTGCCAATGGGTCACCCAGTATCTTTCTTACATGGTCTGGAGCATATCTGATTGCTTGGTCTAACACTATCCAAGTATTTGTGTAGGGATTCTAGGTTACAGGATTTTACATCAGGAATTGGTTTGGTGTTTTCTTCCTTACTTCCCTTTCTTTTTTTCTTTTTTTTCCCCCCATTATTTGAAGAAGTAGAAATGTTCAGGTTAATTCTAGTATTTGGTGAATAAGAGAGTCCTAGAAAGTCTCTAAGAAGCAATACAGAAGTATTCAGTTTGTCTTGTCTTTCCTCTTTTAAGTGTTAGACTGTTAATTTCATGATATTTCTGAGCACCTTGTTAAGTTTTTGCACTTCTTGTATGTGTCCAGTTGTTTAATATACTCTATTGAGGAACTTTCCCTGATACTGAATCTAAACTTTCTCTGGCAACAGTTTGTCCTAGAAAACACTTGGAGACTCCTAAACAACTCTACTCCTTTCATTCTTCTACAGCCTCACAGCAAAAATCAGAGTTTAGTACTGAAACTATCTTTAAGGATTCAAAATATACTCTTTTCTATTCCCAAGCTTACAGGATTTCCTCTGTTAAGGTATAAAAAGAAAGCTGCAGTAAGGAAATCTCCAGTGATAGAAACATAGGAAGGAATTATGGAAAATAAGATCATAAAGAACAAAATTCTTTTAGATTCCAGTTCCGGAAGCTGCTTGAGGATAAATTAAACTGAATCCTTCGGTTGCGGTGTTGGTGTCTTAGTTGTAGACATCATTAGTGTAAACAATGATTTTACTTCTGCAAGTGATTAAATAGACCTGCCATCATGGAAGCTAGCACCTTTCCAAGGGAACTGGCTCAGCAACTTTAAAATTAACAGACCAGAAAGTAAATTTTAAAAGATTGTCACATGCAAATGAAAGGCACTCCTCATCACCTACAGCTTAATAACTTGTAATTCATAGTAAATACATAAAGGAAATTTATATAGCCTTTGTGATGTCTATATGAAGTTGTAAATGGACAAGCCCACAGTTCAGTCCATTGAGAGAGAGTAAGAATATATATGAATGAAGACATAATGAACTTTCTTACAGAAATCTTAATCCTAAAAAGTATAAAACATTTCCTGAGAAGACTGAAATGCCTCTTAATCTGCAAAGAAGTCTGACTTATGTTGAGCACTAGTTACAGAAGCAGAAGTTCATAGTGTTTTCTCTGGCTTTAAAGATTTTTTAATCTGTATCAACTAACTAAAAGCTAGATGAACAAGATCATTTAAGATCATTCCATCAATGATGTTTATCATATAAGTGCAACAGAACAGACCCAGGCTATTCACCTTTCTTATGAGCGCTTGACTCTGTTGGCAGCAGCAGGATGTATAAACAGTAGAAATTGGAGAAAGACTTTCTGTTTGTAATAAAATAGGTGGCTGAGCTAATTATGGAATGGGAATGGTGATTTTTAGATGCCTGCACTAAATGCCAGATTCTCCTTATGTTTTTAAGAAGTGTGGAAGAAGTATGCAATTGTAACTCTTAAAGGTTAAAATACTGCTGAAAGTTGTCCCAATAAAAGTCATCATAGAAGCTTATGAACTGGCAGTTTTCTCCCAATTTCTTTATCTTGACTTCAGAAATCCCCAAATCCATTAGGCATTGATTTTAATCTTTATTTAGGATTCACACGTAGCTAATCTTGTTCAAATTCCCTCTGCCTCCTTATTTTCCTCCCCCCTCTTTTCCTTCTGTCAGCCCTTCATTTTTCATCAGTTTGCCTTAAAGGCCCAGGGTGGATGAGTCAGTGATTCCAACCTGTATTTGCTTAGATACCAACTCCCTTTTAGGGATAGCAGTATCATGCTTTAGCTCAGTAGGCAGTCATGCTTTTTGAACAATTTTGACATCTAGAACTTTCTTTTATTAGATATTGACTGCTGCACTCCTCTCTATTTGAAAAAATCACGCTCTCTAGGTTTGCTTTTTAAAAAACAAAACAAAAAAAAAAACCCAAAAAACAACACAAACCCCCCAGCTCTTGGCTGTGCTGATATCACCAATACGATGAAGAGTCAGACTGGTTTAATCATTTTCCTTTCTTGTCTACTTGTCAGTTGTTCATTCATCTTCGGTCACTCGAACAGCTATCTATTTGCCTTCCTGCCTCCCACTGTCCCCACTCCCAGGGAACCTTAACACTGGCATTGCCAGACCTCATGGCTCTGAATTTTGGTTTGTTTGACTTGACAGTTTGGAGGGAAGGTAATACTATGTCTTTTCCTTGCTAAGTAAAGAACAAACTGCAGGTACCTGGAATAAGATAGGCTGAAAAGCCAAAATACCTGGTGAGAAGGAGATCTTTCATGCTGCCACCACAGCAGCATCTGAGTGCTTGCTTGAGCAGGCACAAGATGCTTCTAATGCACCAGAAATGCCACTATTGCTTGATGCTCTGGAGCTGCAACCACATGCCCAGATTAGGGGTCTCTCACTTAGAGGAGGTGAGGAGGGAGGGAACATTTTCCACCCTGCTTAATTCTGTCTTCATCTGTAAAGCCAGGAGAAAGCTGGAAGGGGAACACATGATGGTATTGTTCTGTGTTAATTTTTTTTCTAATTAGCCAAAGTATTGAAAATGCTTCTGTCTCTTTAAAATGGTGTGGTATTTTGTGCTGTGACTATTACCGAACATGAAGTTATTTGAGTGAACAGAATAACTTCATGTGTGTTGAGGTGTGAGGTGACCTCATTATTCCTAAATCTGTTCCTTTTTTGTAGCACTTCTTATTCAGCTCTGCTCTTTCAGCTGCTCAAGTGTTTTTATTTCTGCTCTGGTTGTGTAACAGATTTTTTTTTTTAAATTTCAGAATCATAGCAACATAAGTTGGTTAGATGAGCCAACCTGGCAGAAATTAGCTGCTCATAGATAAGACAATAATAGAGCAAGATTAAACAGGTTTTGTGGCTTAATAGAGTAAGAAGCGATACTTGCCAGATTTTACTTTGATGCAAGGATGTTGATTAATGCAAGACATGTTTCATTCCAATCAAGACTTCTGTTAAAGACATTTTAAAAAATTATCATTTTGCCATTGCTTGCACAGTCAGAACTTCAGAGAGGTGTTGTGTTGAACACTCCGGCAAATTGGCGTTCCCTGTCTGCCTTCAGAAGAGCATGTCCTGGGGAGCACTGGCACTCTGCAATCAGTGCTTGTTCCGGGGCAGAGGTGCATATCTCCAGGGAGACGCTGCTCCCTTCAGCACTTTCTGCTTTTGCTGTCACTGAGGACTTTGCTGTTGGGACTCTTATCTGGAAATGAGGCACCTGTCCACTCACAAAGAAAAGAAAAAAGTATTTCTCAAAGTTCACTTGGTGGTCTCCAGGCAGCCTTGGTGGTTGTACTGAGTAGAATTTCTTTGAAGAGACAGATTAAAGGTGGATGACTGCATATCCCGTTGCAAATGCCATATATTGACAATTTTTATATGCTAACTTGAAAGTTTTTCCATTTAGACCTCCAGCATTTAAGGGACACATGAGAGACAAGATTGCAACTCCCTTGCTTGAGAGCTCTCTATCACCTCCTGAGTTGTTCCTGTGGGGCATGCTTGTCTAAATAACAGATCCCATCTTTTGTATCCTTAACCACTCATCAGAAACTTCCTGGCTCCAGTGTTGTTTGCCTGGTTCATTTTCTGCTGCTCTCTCTTGGTTTCTTGTACTAGCTTCAATATTCTCTACTGATCGCATTTAGCTCTGGAGCACTTGAGTGAGTTGGTGATCTGCGGGGTTTTTACTGAGCAGGTAAGTTTTCTGACTAAGTGTGTTTCCTAAGTTAAAGGTCTAGTGCCTATGCCAAACCTATACTTGCATAAATAACCTGCCTATCTACAATTACATATAACAAGTTTTTAGCAGTTCCACTGCCTCCATTTCCTGTTGCATTGAAAATAGTTCCAAATGAAATTTTGGCCAGAGGGGCAAAAATTTTAGTTTGGCATCAGTGGATGGCATTTCTGCCAGTTCAGGTATGTGAATTATGTAATTAATATCTGCATAAGATAATGTAAAAGCAAAACACACCATGTGTGTTTTAGGGGCTTTACATGAACTGGAGTTGTTTGGGAAATAACTAGGACCTTTTAAATGCCTACTGCATTACACTTTTCATCTATCAAGACCTATTTGCAGGTAAGCCAGTTGAAGGAAAACATTTTATTTTTGTCTTTAGACTTTGCATTGAGTTTAATTTTGTCACTTCACCTTTTAATCCTCTTTCATTTAATATTTTGCCATGTAACAAAAGCATGTGTTTCAATTTTCAACCCTGCTTAAACAGAGAAAGGCTATGGCAATGGTGGCAGGCAGTTCAGATGTGATTGAGATAAAGCTGATATTAGGAAGTTATAGGGAGAGTGGTTTCTGCCTCTTCATTGCCAGATTGTCCACCACTTATCTTCATGTCTGTTGTCTGAGTGATGCTGCTTCTCAGCTGTTGCTATGAAAAGTCCTTTGATAACCTTGTGTGATGACTAAATGGTACTAATTGTCCCCACCTGGGAGCCTGTTTCATGGTCATTCAGGCATCTCCAACTCTGATGGTAGATTATGTTATCCCTGTAAGAGGTACCTCTTGACACCTATGCTTTTCAATATTGTAATGTCCATCTGTTGGTTTTCAAGGTGGATCTTAGACAGTCATGGGGTTTGAAGTGAAAAGACTGCAAAGGACCTGAACAGCTGCAGAATGTGCTCAGGGAAGTGACCACAGCTATGATCCACAGAGTTTCTGCTCAGGTACCTGTGCAGTCTTTTGGATGATCCTGAGCCCTTCTGTAAGCTCTCATGGTCTGAATTAATCCTGGCTTGCTGGTTATTTGGAGGGATGCTAGATCTAGTGCAGTGCTGTGGGAGGAAGGCTTGAGGGGGCTGCGTGAGGTGATTTATTGACTGCAGAGAATCTTGGTCTGTCAGCTGCTGGAGTGGCATAAGCAGTCCTTATAGATGGGTCAAAAAGCTATGCATTTTGTCAAACTAGTTTCATCTTCCTGTTCTTTTTTTTTTTAGCTCTTTTTAATTAAAATGAAGTTGGGCAGAAGTGATTCTCTTGGTTCCTGAGAATGTTTCATTAGTGAAATCAAATGTCTCTAAAGAAAGAAGTTGCTAAAGTCATTATTACACATAAATCTTGATATATCTATCCCCCAAAAAAATTGGCATGAGATGCCTCAGTGGAGAAAGCAACAGGGGGATATAACTCTCAAGCTTTTTATTTTATCTTCTCTCATTTACAGTTCAATCCCATTTGTCTGTGTTTTATGCAAATTATTCTGTATGTCTATATTTCCAGTGCTTAGAAAGAAGGGGTCACTAAGCAGCCTAAGATTGTTCAATGTTTTTCCAAATACATGTTTTTAATTGACTTGACAGAGGGAGATTTGAGAAATCAGATATTAGTAAATGCACTATGTACAACAGATTAATCAAAATTTTCCTTTGTTAAAGGCTTTATCTTCTGACTTAAAAAGTCTCTGCAATTGATATGCAAATGCCAAGGACCTCTGTTGAAACTGGATAAAAACCATAAAGTTTTGTTTCACATTGAGAAAGTATAGTCTTTCTCTAGATCTTGAATTTCCTGAGAAGCACTTTTTGGTCTTAACACCATCAGGATGTGAAAGCGTAAGCATAAACACTTGTTGTTGGTCTTTGGGTAAAACTTTTAATACATGATTTTGAACAAACACCATGCAAGAATTGAAAAGACATCATTAAAACATTCATTTCCTGTTGTGGATTTTACTGCATGATTGTTCCCAAGAGAATTGAAAATTAGACCTCCATTTGTATGCCAAACTACAGATATATACAGATATATATGGGTATATTTTCCCTTAAATCCTATTGCAAATGCGTGTTTGTAGAAGACCGGCACCTCTGCGAGTGGAGCTACTGGATCCATGGGAAGTTTTATCCAGAGCACAGAGAAGTACTGTAGTAGGCTTTGGCTCAACTGGTGTTGACTGAGAACTGCATAATGAAGCCTTTTTGGGGGTTTATATTCAAAATTTTATTGCTTTCTAAGAGGAATTTGCATCATTGTTGCTTCTTTTATGGTGAATAAAGTCTGCTTAATGCTTGTCTCCATTTCATGTTACTATAGGATGCTTCAGAAAATACTAATGTCTGGCACAAATTTTCTTGGAAAATGCAGCCTCCTGATTTCATGGTAGCTATTGACATTAAATTATTCTTGTAAAAGTAAAAACATGGATAATACTATAATGTCAGGAATTTTCTTACTTTTTTAAAACCACTGCTGTTATTCATAACACCTATAAAGGGTTGCCCAGTATCCCCAGTATACCTTATTTCCCTTGTGGGACAAGTAAGCTATTTTTGGCTTTGTAGCTGGGGAAGACTGAGCAAAAAGCAATTATATAAACTAATATATCAAATGTAGGATCACCTGGGAGGTCTTAGCTATCAATCTGAAATCACTTTGACTCTTGCTAGTTAACATCTCCCTTAGCATTTTCCCCGGGGAGAGTGCTAAGAACAGGGTGCTGAAGTACACGCCCAGCCTTATTTCTTAGGCTGTTCCTACAAGCTTCCTATCATGTTACAATATGTCCTTCAGAGTTCTCTTAAAGACAGCAACAAAAAAAAAAAAAAAGCCAAACAAACCCTTCTCTTTGGTGATTTCATGGCTTTTGTTTCTTCCTCAGAGAAGATCAAGTCTGGAGTTTCTCTGACTTCGTCTGAAATTGTAGGCATGATCAATTTGTTTAAGAAACCTTGTAAGTACTTGACTGATGGAGCACACGATGTCCTGTCATTTGAAAGTTCACTGTTAAGTTTTTGTGGCTTAGTCTGGAATACTTTCAGTGGGGAGCTGGCTGAGGGGAAAATGTGCTGTGCTTCTTGTTTTTAAGCAGGAGCTGCTGCTAATGTGTGTGCTGCTTTTGTCCATTTTTATGGCAGTCAGAATAAACAGCGTATGTGTGAAGCTCAGCCAAATCCAAACCAAAGAGATTATTCTGGTTTATGTTTTTGCAGGTAATTTCCTGTGGCATTACTAGGAGCTACCTGTTCCACTGTGGGAAACTTGATTCCCCCAATTTGTGTTATGTCAGATGCTGTGCTTTTACCATACCATTTGAAATGGCCCTTTTAGCTGATGAAAGTTTAGAATTTATGGATTTAAATTTTGTAGTAAATAGAAAAGTACATGCTTACTTAGGATCATATGGATTATTTTTCAAAATTGTCAAAAAATTTTTCATTTTAAAGTTTACTGTGGTAATTCTAATCTTGACAGGTTTTCCTATGATAATTCTCAATTATCTTTCAGTTGCACTGATACTAAGTTATATGATTTCACTTTTATTGATTACATTGGGTTTGCAGAGATTCTTCAACAAATTTAGAATTTATTTGAGTTAAATGATGTGAATGGACTGAAGCAGTGTTTAGTTTGTACTTATGTGTAAATAGCAAGCATGCTGTCAAGCAATGGTGCTGGATTCATGTGGTGGTGTCCTGTTCACCTCTTTGTTGGTGAAGTTTGGGGATGGGAGGGAGATGGGGGAGGAGAGCCTGGCCAAAGCGTTTATAATAAACAAGGCTTATTTTCAACATAAGATGATGGTTAACATCATAACATGACTAAAGTTTTAGTCTGTTTTCAGATTTCCCCGTTATATACCTAGTGTCTCTGTTTCCACTGGATTGCATGATTTTCCACATGAGCTTGTGGTACTGAAAAGCTGTTAAGAGGGGAAAAGGCTCTGACTAGATTCACCAAATGCCCTTCAGAACATGAAGTCCCCCTGTCACCCTGTCACTGACAGTCAGGTCAAATGCTCTCCCAGGGAAAGAAAGGAGAGAGGAAGGAATGTAAAAAAGCCTTTACTTCTCAACAAGTTATTTAATAGTCTCTAATTATGGATTTAAATGATGAAAGTAGTAAGAAGACTTAGTTTGCATTTACTATTGAGGAATTCATGTGGGAAGAAGAGACACAAGTGTTTGAAATACCTGACTAGCTCTCTGTTGTCATCAGTTAATAATTGACATGGCCATTTCATTTGTATTTTGTTGAGAAAAACGGAGTAGGCTCGACATATAAAGAAGCTCTTAAATTCCGTTGTGAAGCAGTGGGAGTACAGCGTATCCATTCAGTACAAAGAAAAAAATTTACTTGTGTGAAGTTTTCAGACTTTTTTGGTTTTCCTTTTGTATGCTTCACCAGTGGCACTGTGGGAAGGAAACTCTGTTTCTCATGTGACTTTTACACTTGTGTTAGCTATTATTAGTTAAGCCATAACTGAGCTGCAAATTCCAGGCCCAGACTTTCCCAGAATTTGGTGCCTGCTTTTGTAGAAAACCAATTGTTCTACAATTACCACCAAATAAAATGGTGTATCGCCGTCTCGCCTTATACTGGGGTTTATGGTCAATCACTGTATGGTACTATGGTAAAGACTTAAAAATCCCCAGCAGACAGTTGTAGGGGATGAGCACGTTCACATTGTCATGTGAGACTTTGCTGAAAGCTGCTGTTCTAGGAAATCTTTGCCTACAACCACTTTGCTTGTGGTCCCTTTGCATTCAGTCTTTTTCTATCCTAGTATGTGCAGTGGTTTCTGAACTCTCTCTGCCTTGGCACAATTTCCCAGGGTAAAGAGCAAATTTTGAAAATATTATGCTATTAAAATCTTACTTCGGATGTTTGTTTCTGATTCCCTAAGAAGCATACAATTTACAAAGAGATGAGTATGACTGACTTACCTTGATTCTGCATAAGTATTAGCAGAACTCTAAAAGACGAGAACATGAATATGGATGATTTATGAGCACTCTACATGGGATGGCAATGCTTTCTATACATAGAACATGAAGTTTTAATTGCTCATGGGTGGAGACAGACACTAATTGTCTAATCCAGTCATTTGTTGCGAAGGCATTCATTATCTTTGTCCTTTAAGATTTCTTTCAGAAAAGTTGGGAAAAAAAAGTTGACCCCATGGGTAAAGGTTGAATTTCAAATTACTCCTCTGCTTCTTGAGCAGACTGGCTGCTGTTGGAAATGCAACACTCAGCTATATGGAATTCTTGTCTATACCAACCTTGGCATGCCTGCATTCATTTTTCCTAATTATTAAACAACTTCCACTTAATGAGTTGCAATTAATTAGTACCTTTTGCTTTGTTACACATACAAAATTATACTCTAGTAAAATGCTTCATGAACTAATTAGATATCTCAACACAGTTGACTTCTGTCCTCTTGTCTACTAGTTTCTTATCATATAGTGAGATTAAAATCTTGTCTCCTTACTCCAAAGATACAATCTCTTCATGTTCCTTTTCTCCCATGACAGAAGAAATTTAATTCTTATTCTGGAATGTTGTTTCCCTAAATGAGGTGTCCTCTTTAATCTATAGAACAGAGTGCCTGTCCCATTTCACAATATAGCCTAAAGCAGGGATGACCAGCTGCTCTGTGGCTACACTTGCCCCAGCTGACAACTGGAGTGCTGGAGGATAATAAGAGGCTGACTCTGGAGAGGGTGCTTGGGGTATCCTGAAGAACAGGTACAAACAAACCTTACCAGTCTGATGGCATGGTCCAGGAGGGCAGGACAGAGAGGCACAGTTGTTTACAATGAGGTCAGGTCCTCAAAACTTACTGGTTATGGCATGGAGCCCATTCCAGCAGAGGAGAGCAAAGCTGTGTAAGGCTGCCTCGGCCACTTTGCCCTTGCCTGTCAGAACCTCAGGGGACTTCCAGCCGCCTTGCTTTTCCCCACTGTGTATCTTGGAACAAAAACTATTTTCAGAAAAAAAACCCCCAAAGAAAAATAAACCCCTCTCCCTCTTCAGTTTGGGCTTATTCTGCTAGAGGCCAAGTAATGCTGGTGATGGCTCTGCGTACATAGAGGACTTCGGAGCTGCTGCTTGGGATTCTGCCATGCTGTGTTTCCACCATGGCTGCAAAAGGGTGATGCTGTCTTTCAGAGAGTTTGTTTCTAGGGAACTCTGAGGTCTTTTCTGTGGACAGTTTTCTGGCAGATGTTTAAAGTAAACAAACATTTGATATTACAAGGAAGTAATACAGATTGCTACATCTTCTGATCCTTCCTGAGTTGTAAGGTCTTGCACGCATTTTAAGAGCCATCCTTTCTTCCCTCTTCCTTGGCCCTGGTTAATTTCACATGCTTTATTTAAGAGGCTTTTGGCCTCCTCTGAAGTGGTGTGCAGTGCACATGGTGACCATGCAGCAGTGGGCTGCCATAAAGGGGAGGCTTGCAGCTAGGTGTCAGTTCCACGGATGTACACGCCACCAAGGCACCTCGAGGACGAACAGTTACAGATAGATAATCTGTTTCACCTCCTATCCAGTGTCTCCTTCCACTTTGTGCTGAAAAAAATGGGAAAAACACTTCCCTCTGCTTTTGGAAGAACTTAGTAAAAATATTATTGTATTTTCAAAAGCCGTTCAAATATTTGTTACAAAGTAGTGAAATCTCACTGCTCTCTTATTTTCCCTTTTTTGATTACGTGGTTATCCTATTACACAATGCTATCAGGATTGTGTTACCATTACTGAAGCTTTAGGATACAATATGGGTGATGGGTGATGCCCTCATAGGAATCAGTTTACCAAAACCAAGTACATGTATTTGAACACTTTATAAGCACATGCTTGACTGTGGTTTCCAAACTGGCACCTTCCAAGTAGCAACTGCCCTCCCATTAATGAATATGGATATTTATAATGCCAGGTAGCTGTATGTGTTCTGTCCAGGTGGGATTTTCTTCCAGATTCGTCAGTGATCTACTCATCTTCATTTAACATCAGCAAACCAGTGAATTCTCAGGTGGTACTGCAGATTAGTTGTCATCAGATAATTTTCAGTTTACAGTCTGAAACACTTAAACTCAATATTTGTTCATATATGTTGAGTTCAAACTCAACATTAACTGTGACTAAATCAGATCAAATTACATTTGTTCAGAGTAATGTTTTCTGCAAACACATTATGAACAATCTATACCCTGTGATATATGTCATCTCTCTACCATCAGGTGGAGACATATATGATAAATGAAGCCAAACTAAAAAAATAGAATATTTGGAGACTCTCCTGTTTTGTTCTGATATTGTGTGGTTATTAATTTTATGGTTTGGTTCCAAATAATCCACGGCAGAAAAGCAGGAAAATTAAAAGGAGGGAATGTGGTTTCTCTTGTAATTGAGACATACCCTCCTGGAGAAAATGCTGCTCTGCATCACCACAATGCTGTGTATTTCTGCTGCACAACTGGCATCTTTCTTTCTTCCTTGTAATATGTAAGACTCAGTCTTAAAAAGTGAAGAAGATGGGATATAAAGAGGTGGGAGAAGCCTAGGCTTAAGTTTACACTGTGCAAAGTTACCCTCGTATAACTGACAGTGCTGTCATTTCATATACCTAAATTAAGTGGTTCTTTCCTCTGACTGTCCTGGGTGGGTGTTAGTGCACATATGGCTTTTGGACTTTAGCTCAACTGTTTAAAGAAGTGTCAAGATTAGCACAGTCATTTAGAGCATCAGGATTTTTCTGACAATGTAGAAGAAAACCTGGAATGAGGATCTCAGGATCTGATAGAGGGCCAACAAGGAGCACTGGGATGATTATTCTCTTCACTTAGGACTTTTAGCTGTGTTAGTTTTTGCCTTCTCTGTGCCCACAGGGCAAAGCAACAGCTACGTTGGTTACCAAACTCATATTTGACAAATCTTTCAGAAACT